GAGTTTGGCAAACTCAAATCGGAGGTGTCGCTCCACACGCACGTCCACTTTCTTGTGGTTCAACTGTAGGTTATACAGTGAGGAAAGCCCGGTGCCGTTGCACCCATCGCTCAAAGAGCGCTTCGTCATCTGTATCGCTTTCGCCAGGGGCGAGCACTACAGGTATCGTCTGCATTGCGGGTACATGAGAGCCACCTCGTTGAGCACTTAGACGACTGCGATAAGCTTCCGACGGAAATTATTGTGGAACCAATGAACGAGCTCGAAGAGCTTTCCGTTTGGCAAGCTCATCTTCCGTTCTAACCGGGGGCCGATAGTGTTGACGCGCAACGATCGAGTTACCGCGTCCTTCGCTTCCACAGCGGGATCCGCTGGGCGGAAGCCATATTCCACACGAGGGTCAATGACCGGCCGTGGATGGGTGCGCTTCAGAGCCGCCTTATGGGTAGCTTACAGCTGTCGCCTCTGAGATCCATCGAGGTTATTGGTGATGACACCACGTTCCTAGACTGACGAGAAGTCAGGGAACGGACATGGGGTCGCAAGGCGCGAGCAGAGCTCGTATCACGCCGCAGGCGCAGTTTGCCTTCCTCGCCATCCCATGCGAGAAAAGGAGTATCAGACTCGTAGTCGACCACCTCCACATCCTCAACAAGGTCACTCGTCATTGATAGTGTGTGCAAAGCGCGACGCTCGTACGCCGCGAACGCACTGTCCGACATTGCACCGCGTGCGGGAGACGAAGTTGGGCTTGGGCTCTGCCCGTATTCGCTGTCAGAATTAGCGAGACTTGGTGAATTCAGTGTCGTTGACACAGGATAAAAAACGACTTCCGTGCTCAATAAGCACGGAAGTCGTTTTTTTCAACGAACCAAGTTGCATTGTCTAGCGGACACGCAAGCCTCGTTGAGGCAATAAACGATTGGAACTGTAAATGTCTCAATCCTAATGGGGGAGAGTGTAACGGGGTTACACGTACCCTGGTAACAGGGGTGTGTGTCACACGAGATGGGTATGGTGTGACTGCATCATACCCATCTCGTGTAAATTTAAACATTTAAAATTAGGCGGCTTTGCCTAGAAATAAATACAAATCAGTTTTAAATTTTAACGGAACCTTGGGTTAAGGCAATAATTTT